ATCTATCTATCTATCTATCTATCTATCTATCTATCTATCTATCTATCTATCTATCTATCTATCTATCTATCTATCTATATATGTGTGTGTTATATTTGTGCTGACACAAAATGTGTAACAAAGGCAACAGTAAAAATATTGGGTTTCTGTCATGATGGACTCTTGTGACAAGCCGATTGACAGATAATGGAAGCTGTTACCTTCCTCCCATAATTGGGGATTACCAGGGGTTGTGACACTAAATATATTTATATATCTCGGGGCTCTGTGTAACTATCCATCCATCAACCAACATGATAGCTTTCCAAAAGTAAAAATGAATGGGACCAAAATTGTTGAGGAGGAAAAGAAGTTTGTTAACGAAAGACTGAATTCCAAAGTATGTGTGTTACAGAGGGGAAAAAATATCCTCCAATGCAGGGGTGTCAAACTAGGTTTCATTGGGGGCCGCATCAGGGTTGTGCTTGACCTGGGGGAGGGGGCAAGGCAGGCGTGGCCAGCTTAACATCACTCATGTCGGGGGGGAGCACCTATGGTGGCCTGAGTACTCTGCCAGAGAAAACGGGCTCTTCAGCTCTGTTTTTGGCTACAACGGCCGCCTGCAACCCTCTGCCAGCAAAAATGGAGCTCAGGAGGGCCACGTGGTGGCAGCTGAAAACAGAGCTCTGGAGCTCATTTTCACTGGCAGAAACACTGTGGGCCGGTCCTACACTGTTTCCAAGACAACCCTGCGGGCCAAATCTAAGCACTCCGTGGGCTACACCTGGCCCGTGGGCCTTGAGTTTAGCATCCCAGCTCCAATGCATCCCTATGAAGAATGTATCTGGGCAAAAGTTAGGCATGCTACCCATCTCTCCATTCTAAGCAGGCCTCATCCCAGTCACATGACTCAGAGTGGAGCTGCTCTTAAGAGGTTGCAAAGAATTTTGGAAGCCACGCTGTGCATTTCTAAACCATTCCTCTGAAATCAAACCCAACAACTTACCTGTGGCCAAGTAAATGGGATGATGTTGAGAAGGGCTCCATGCCTGCATGGCAGTACGGTCTACCTCTTTCAGTTTCATCCTGCTGAGAAAAGGAATATAAAGAATGTCAACACTATTATCCTACTAAGATGACTTATTTTAATTTTAATTTTATCCCCCCCCCCCCCAAGAAAGGGCATCGAGGGGAAAATAACCGGGGAAGCCCTTCCTCCTTCAGTTTCACATTTCTTTCTTACTTAAAGACATTTCAACTTTACGACTTGTGGATTTCAACTCCCAGAATTCTGGGAGTTGAAGTCCACAAGTCTTAAGATGGCCAAAGTTGAAGAACCCTGCTTTAAACTGACATAAGAAAGATTGACTCTACTCAAAAGTTATTTTTTTAAACAAGTTTTTTATTTATAGTCTCATACACACATTTACAAGTATATATTCTCTTAGTTGTGATTCTTATCACATTTGAACACTTCTAAACATTCATTTTTCCATATAAAAAATTAAAATATATAATCAGGATTACTTTGCTTACCATCCCATACACCTATTTTGTTTTATCTCTACTCTACTTTTTTCCTTCCCTTTTCTCCTTCCCTCCCTTCTCTATTTTCTTCTTTCCTCCTCTCCTTTCCCTTTCCTTCTTCCCCTTCCTCTCCCCTACTCCACTCTAACTCTTCCCCTTCATACCCTCTTTCCTCCTCTTCCTATCCCTCCCAATCTTCCTCTCCTTTCCTCTTTCTTCTTCCCTCTCCTTCCCTCTCTTACTCAAAAGTTATTTGTTGCTAAAACAAGTATCAAATGACAAGTCTTCTCTTTATTTGTTTATTAAATTTATATGCCTGCTGCTCTACTCTGAAAAGCTGCTGTAGCCTGGATCTTTCTCAAGATTAGATTTCCAAACTGGGTTTCTATGTAGAGTATGGTGCATTACGCTTCCAAATCAAAATAAAAAATATATATAAAGCCCAATATTTGATCCTCCTAGGGTGAAGCAGCCGGTTAGTCAATGCTTTGTCCTCAGCGTTGTGGCACTCTTTATTATATTTGCTCTCAAGCACTGTCAAAATCTAAATAGGATTTGAGTTAACAAAAAAAAAAAAAAAGATTGAGATAATTATAAGTGTTATGACGCATCTCTCACAGAATTGTTTGACTTTGTGTGCTAGAAAAGAGGCCTTGTTTACTCTCCTTTTGTGTTCCACTTGGAATCTAAAAATTACCCAAAAATAAAATATCTGCTCTTTTGCCAGGTCAGTGTGCAACAAAGTACAACTCATGATGAAGTGAGTTCATTCCTGAGTGAAGGGATGGTTTCAACTATCACTTTTAGTATGCTCTTTATTTAAGAAGACGTTGCTAAAGCCAAAGATTCTGGATTTTTTTCGTCCAGCCTTCAAGGTTTCCCTTTTGGGGGAAACGTTGTTAAGAAGGTGATTAGAAGGCCCTGGAAGAAGATTAACCAGAGATACTTCAGTCAGGGGCATAATATACACCAGGGGTGGGCAATTATGGTCCCTTCACTACCTGTGGACTTCAACTCCCAGATTTCCTGAGCTGAGATGGCAGGGTTAAAAACTCAGAAACCATCCCTTCACTCAGGAATGAACTCACTTCATCATGAGTTGTACTTTGTTGCACACTGACCTGGCAAAAGAGCAGATATTTTATTTTTGGGTAATTTTTAGATTCCAAGTGGAACATAAATGGAGAATAAACAAGGCCTCTTTTCTTAAGCAATTCTGTGAGAGATGCCTCATAACACAATTATCTCAATCTTTTTTTTTTTTGTTGTTAACTCAAACACTATTTAGATTTTG